GATGGAGATCGATGGAGATGGAGAAGAAGACGACGAAGATGGAGATGGAGATCGATGGGTATATTTGTCAAATATGTCTTGTTCCACTTAGTTCCAGGGGGGTGAGGGTGAACAAGCTTGTCTCATACGTGTTCCACTTAGTTCCATTTAGTTCTACTTAGAAACACACCAAACATGGGACAAGTGTGTCATGTCCTGTCCCACCCTGTTCCACGTACCAAACGCACCCTAAATGATGAGTATTTTTAACTTTTTGTATCTCGTTTTTTATTAAAAATCTTTCTAAAGGTGATTTTAAGGAAAAATATGAACATAACGCTCAAAAGCAATCAAACCAAAAATCAGGTTGTTATACACCTGTTACCCAATTAAATATCACACATGATTTCAAAGGGTTTGGTCTAATCATGGGAACCAACACAGGGACAAAATGCTTTCTTCAAAGTGTTGAATGCATTTTTTTGCATTATTCAGATCAAACAAATTTATGATCTTACTATATAACATCATACAAAGTCGAGATTTTGGAAATCTTTAATAAACCTCTTATAGAAGTCTACACGCCCCCGAAATCTTCTCCCCCGTTGACAATGAATAGTTCAGACAATTTTTCTTTACCTTTTAGTTTTGTCTTATCGACCCCACACTTTTAGAAATCAAATGTCCCAAAACTATCCCTTCAATTCTCTGATCGAAACGATTTGAAACGAAAATGTTGGACTACTTTTATAAGCATTAAATTCACTTCAACTTTTGTTACGTCTCATAAAATGTCGGGGAGGCGTTTATTTTTTATTTTAGTCAAAAATTCTCATACGAATTGTAATTGTTAATAATTAGTGATTCGTTATCAATGATTCATACATGGTGTACTCTAACTTTTAATAATTTTACGAAAATATATTATAAAATACGATATACATGAACGTATGCATGCATGCATGTACGTATATTCATATGGTTTGATTATGTGTTCAATATTTTAAAGACGACAAACGAGTTCATATGTGAACCTATGTGATTCACATATGAACATAAAACCCGTGTAATTCACATATAAAATATTTTATCTGATTCAGATACGAATCCGTGTGATTCAATATAAAACTATTGGTTCACATAGGAATCACTTAGATACTTCATTTGTGAACTAATTAACGAGTTCACATATGAACATATAGTTTATATGTGAATCACATGGGTTCACATAATGAACATGTTTGTCGTCTATTTGTAAAAGTTATGAAATTATCATTCTATCTTCTGCATACGCATGCGATAAATTATCCGATATTTCACGGTCAATGTCACAAATTACTTATAATCGTAAAATAAGGGCAAAGTAGTACTAAAAACGATATTTACACCCAAAAAAATAATATCCCATTGATGAAAAAATAAATACATCCAGCCATGAAACGACGACGTAAACGTCCTCCAACAGTGCTATAGGAAAATGAAGCACTCTAAGGAAACAAGAGGGTTTTCCAGCGACTCACTTGTCTGTGGCTCCGGCGACGCGCCACCTTCCTCCACCATACCTTTTCCTTCATTTTCTACGACCTTCGCCGGTATTATGTCACTTGATTTCTCAGCCGGACTTCTTGCGCGTACTTCACGACGTTGACCTGCTTCCCCACGCACTGCCGGAGATCTCGATCTCCGACCTGAAACTTCTCTCCTGGAATCATTGGACGGTCCTACATTCCGGTGGCGTTGTGCGTTCGTCGTTGTCCTTGACGGCAACTGAGCTTTTTTCTCCGGCGAAGGAATCGTTTGTCTTCTAGCCGAAGGCCTAATGGCTCTATCCTTCCTCCCAGTAAGTTCCCCGGAAGACACCGCCGGCCGTTTTCTGGGTACCCTCTTGGCCGGCGGAGACCTGTTCTTCACTTTCTGGGTAACTTCATCATCCTCATCCATCTCGATTTCGTCTTTCTTATCCGCCACCGTTGCCGTCGTTGCAGCAGAGAAACTCTCGCTGTAACTATACATCTCGGAATCATTTTCTTGAATTTCTCCTGTTGGGGTTTTGGTCAAATCAACGCCGCCGTCGGCGCCGCTTTCAATCTTACCCTCCTCCGATTGAAGAATTTCCGGGTGGTTGACTGGTGCTGTTTTTGAAGGCGATGGGTTTTTGGGGACGATGGGTGTTTCTGAAAGAACTTCTTTTACCGTCTCTTCTTCAAATGCAGGTGGCAGAGAAGCAGCGGTAGGTTGTGCTTTGAGTTGCGGCGGCTGAAGGTGGTTGGTGGCGGCGGCGGTGCCGAGACAGCAGCCCATTGGGAGGAGGTGGGGTCGAAAAGGAAAGAAGTAGGGATTCCTACAGTTGAATTTGGGGGGATAACAAATGCGTAGGTTGGTGCATTAATGGAAAAGTGAAAACCCACTTTTCCTTTTATTATTTCTTTTTGTTTTTCTTAAAATACGTATTTTTTAAATCAAGTATTATATTTTTGTAAAAAATCATTTCTTTTTTAAAATAATAATTTCTTTTATTTTAATTTTTATGATTTATAATCAATTATGAATAAAGTCCTTGAACTTTAATAAATATAATAATAGTCATTGTAGTTAGGGGTGCTTAAAAACCCGATCAATCTGATGAACTCAACTCAATCCAATGTGAAATAACTCAACCCGAAGCAACCCGATGTCTAATCGAGTTATAAAATTTTCAAACCGTAAGTATTGGGTTCAGTGGCGGATCCAGGAATTTTATACACTGGGGTCACTTAAACTAACAATATACCAACACATCAATCATTATAATTAATAATACGTGATTAAATAAGTTGATTTCTACGAGTTTTCATCATTTGAAAACGAGTCATTACATCTTGATTTGTAACCTTAGCAAGTATTTCTTTTTCTACGGCACAAATGACACACACATTCAAAAAATCGTCACAAATTCTATTGTGCAAAGCTGGCTTCACAAGCTTCATTACAGAAAAACATTTCTCAATTGTTGCGGTTGCAACAGGCAAAACCAATGCAAGCTTCAATAATCGATAAACCAAATGAAACACAAGATGTTTCCTTGTTTCAATCATCACTCTACCGAGCTCGGATATACCTTTCAAATTAGCAAATAATTCATCATGTTGGACATTGTCAATGTATAGTTGAAGTTGGTGCTCAAGAGTAGTTCTTTCGTCATTGCTAAAATCATCTGGATAAAACTCTGTCAACCTTAGTAATTTTGATGGGTCAAAGTCACAAAATGAGTAATGAGGATCCAAAGCGGCCATACAAGTGAGCAATTCGGAACTTACCTCATCAAATCTGTCACCAAACTCTTGAATTTGCATATCCATAACCGTGTTAAAACATTCGTACTCGTTGAACACAACCCAACCCGACGAACCCGATATCCTTTTATTTCTTGGATTTAATATGATTGTTGAATTTCTATTAATATATGTATTAGACAATAACACTATCACATATGCTCTTCATATACACATCTTTTCAATCTATTCACATCTCTATATAACTCATTCGTATATATGTTTAGTAATTGTAAACATATATATGTAAATTGAGAAAATTAACTAAATGTGATATACGTAAGAAGTATGAATATGTTGTATCGAATGGTTGATGATGAAAAATAAATTATGAGTAAGGAAATAACATATTCAAGGTTAGAAAAATATTTTAATATACCAAAGTATCAACCCGACCAACCCGTATGGTTTGGGTTGGGTTGGGTTGTACTTTCGTTTGGGTTGGGTTGGGTTGGGTTAAGATTTTTCAAACCGCAAACATTGGGTTGGGTTGATCAAATGTCTTCAACCCGATCAACCCAACCCATGAACACCCCTATTTGTAGTTTGTATTTTGTTATGAAATTGATCTTTCTGATTAATTTCGTTAATGAATCTCTGTTAAATGAAAGATTTTTTCGTTCTTTTACTGGGTTTTTGTTGTTTGTTTTCATATATTTTATTTTCTACCCATTGCTCGTTCTTTCGATTTGTTTTCTCCATAAATGAAATCTTCACCTTCGATCAGCCTTTAAACATGCACAGACACACACACGAAGATGGCGTCTAGAAGCTAAAAAGATAGCCTATGCCGAATATGTTTGTATTACTGTGTATGTATGTGTACAAGTGGTTTCATTACAAACTCAACAATTAGTACAAACCATGTAAATAAATAACAATCGTTCATCTAATCTAATGAATATTTGATTTAATGAACATCTAGATTATTTCTTAATATAACGAGTTGATCATAATAAATGAATTATGATAATGTTTCATAAATATCCAGATTATAATACATACACTTTCATATATAGGCGAAAGATCGTGTGAGATGGAGAGTTAAGGTGAGAAGTGTAAGAAGAAATCTGGACTCTTGATCACATTTAATCTCAAACTCAACCATGAATCACGTTTCATATGGGGATTGATCTGGTGCATCTTATCTCAATGCATCGCATTATATGGTTGAGTTCCAGTGAGAAAAATAGTTAAGGTGAGAAGCGTAAGAAAAGATAATCAGTCATAATTGAATGTCAATATTAATTAAATGCATCATATCAATTCCCTTCTAAAACACAATTAATTGGTGGACATGAGACTAAAAAAATTACAGTTTAAATTTTTTTTTACGCTTTTCATCGTAACTTCCACTATATCAATATATTAACATAATATTAATATTAATTAAATTAATATTTACAAATTAAGTTGATTTTTAAAATAAAATTAGTAAAAAAGGGTAAAAAGAAATATAAAAAAAAGCCATTCATTTAACGGAATTTTTAACAGAGTTAACTAGAGGGGACAATTTCATAGCAAAATACAAAGCACGATAACCGTTATTATATTTATTGAAGTTAGGGACTTTGTTTGCAATTGGGTATAGACCACAAGGACCAAAATTGTAGTTTACTCAAAGTTGTATTTTATTTTAAACCGAGAAAAAGACCCAACATAAACCAAATGGAAGGAATAAAAGATACAAACCTACAACTCAATGACAAAAAAAACGTTATGTATTTTTTATATTTAAATAGTTTTTTAATGATTTATAGAAGACAAATTAATTTTAATTTAATTAGTATTTTAAAAACCATAATCTAAATTTAGTTTTATTTTTATTTATATTTTGAATTTTTTTAATTAACCTGGAGATTCAACCTGTTATGCAAACCAACTAATGTCAAGACGACCACTTGTTTCGTGGGTAGCCGGGGATCATCGTATTTGAAACTCTGTGGCCATAAGGGGATTTTTATTCATTTATTGGATTCGAACCTGCGATCTCCAGACACTTTTGACCGTTGGAGTTCAAGATCAAACTAATTGGGCACCACTAGTAATTACTATTTTGAATTTTAAATATATATAAAAACATTTATTGAGGGTCTTAGATGATAAGTTTTCGCTTATCTATACTATATTATAAAGCATTTGATAAAAACTCTTAAAAATCATTTTTTACGCATGAAGTACTGTTTATTGATGCATATTATTTAAAATCCAATATTACAAGTAATTTGTACGTAAGTACAACTTTTTAAAGCTTCATGTTTGAATTCATGTAACTAACTGCAAATATCATAATTAAATAAAAGATAAACATCTTATTTTAAATATAAAAAAACTAAAATATAATTAGAATAGTAATTGACTTCTAACAAAATACTTAATTATTATCTTTATAAAAAATTAGATTAATAAACTAAAAATAAAAAAATGAATTAAAAAAATACACAAAAAAGAAAAAAATTTAATAGTTAGTTTGGTACTAATATCAATATTTTAAAAAAAAATTTATGATATCTTCATATTTATATTTTATTCAAAAATAAAAACATTAAATTTTCTCAAAACCACATAAAACCGTATTATAACATCAATGAAGACAAAAAAGAAAACAAAACATTAAAATCGAAATGTATCTCACTGCATTATACGAGTACCCTTTTAGTAATTTCTTAAATATATATGAAATCAAAGTTGATTCATTTTAATAAAATTGATTTATGTATACATTTAATATTGTTTATCATATATTAAAATAAATTAATTAACATAAAAAAATATATCAAGATTTAAAAATTAAAAAGAAAAACAATATTTAAATCAAAACGTTTTCTAAAAGCTTTTTGTTGTTGACTAAAACAGAAACCAAATAACGTTTTCTCACGTTAAAAAGTCAAAAAAACAAAAACAAAGAGACCATAAAATACATTTTTTTTTGGAATTAATAAAAGTTTAAAATAATTTTAAATTTTTTTAATAAAATATATTAATACCATAATAGAAACAATAACTGTTTGGGAAAAGTACAATAAAAACCAATGAACTTTTTTATTTGGAATGATTAAGTCTTTGAACTTTTTTTTGGAACAAATAAGTCCTTGAACATTCCAAAACATGTTAAATAAGTCCTT